TGTCATGTCTTAATTACTTTCAGCCCATATTTAACTTTATCGCGGCCTTGTTAGCTTTTGCCTAACGTTAAATAGATTTGACGTTGTCATTGAAATTACAATTAAATAATAATAGAATAGTGTGTGTTTTATTTAATGATGGAATAGAGACAATTTGACGATGATTGTCAACGACGGATGATATTCCATCGCTATTTGTGATGCCAAAATCTTTACCGGTGTTTTAAAGACGGATCAACAATGGAACTCGAAACGAAAATCAGCGATGGGTTACTATTCCGTCGTTATTTTTTATATTTTGCTTTAACGACGAATATTTCATCTCTAAAGAAATAAATCTGTCACTAAATCTAAAAAAATTAGTGGCCTTTTGAAATTAAAAAATCCCCCATTTGATGATGAAAAAACGATGAAAACTTAATTTTCGTCACTAAATAATGACTAATCAACAATGGAAACATTTTTGTCATTGGTTGTAAAAAAATGAATGGCCTTCTAGAATTAAATAGCCATCCATTTTATAATGGATTTGTGATGGACATTTACATTCGTTGTTGGTCTAAATCCTTAATTAAACCTCCCTTTCCCTTCTTCTTCCCCCATCTTCTTCTTCCAACTTCCCCTCTCCAGCCTTCGACCTCGCCCTCCACCCAAAATCATCAAAAAACGCCACTCCTCCATGCTACATCAATCCACACTCATTGCAAAAAAAATTCTCCCTAAAAACCTCTCTTTTTCCTTCCTTCCTCTCTTTGTCTTAAAGTCCAAATTAGGTAAGTTCACTCTCCCTTCTATTCCTTACAAGGTAGTTATTTTCATAATTATTAGGTTAATTTTAAATTTAATTGATCGATTTATAATTTTATATAGTTTTAATTGTTAATTTTTTTATTAATGTATTGTTTTTTGTTAATTGTTAGGTTAATTTTTTAATTAATTATTAGTCTCGTTTGGGTTTAATTAATTAATTAGGTTGATTTTGATTAATTGATTGGTTTGATTTAGGTTTAATTAATTAATTAGGTTAATTTGCTACTTCATTGATAGTTTGCTTTAGGCTTAATTAAGTAATTAAGTTAATTTTGATTAATTGGATGATTTGATTTAGGTTTAATTAATTAATTAGGTTAAATTTGATTAATTGTTACTTTGATTTAAGTTTAATTAATTAATTAGATTAATTTTGATTAACTAGTTGGTTTGATTTAGGTTTAATTAATTAGTTATTTAAACTTGATTAATTGTTATTTTTTGTTAATTGTTAGGTTAATTTTTTAATTAATTGTTAGTTTAATTAATTAATTAATTATGGTGATTTTGATTAATTGGTTGATTTGATTTATATTTAATTAATTAATTGTGTTAAATTTGATTTAGGTTTTATAATTAATTGGTTGATTTGATTTACATTTAATTAATTAATTGTGTTAAATTTGATTTAGGTTTTATAATTAATTGTGTTAATTTTGATTAATTGGTTGATTTGATTTAGGTTTAATTAATTGATTAGGTTAAATTTGATTAATTATTAGTTTGATTTAGGTTTAATTAATTATTAGGTTTCTTCACTTAACTCTAACTCCTCTATTTTTTCTATTCTAAAAGTAAAAATCTCTTATTTTCCTTCTTAAATGTGAGTTTAATAGCAAATTTTGCCTCAATTCTATTGCAATTTGATAATTTTGAGTCTATAATATCAAATTGTGTAATTTGAATTCTAAAATATTGAAAAGTGGGTAAATATGATTCAAATTAATCAATCTCTCGTTATGTATATTTGAAATGCCAAAACAACATCGTTTTGACATTCTACCGTTAATTATGTTTTTTTTATATAATATTTTTAGCCACCTAATCTTGAACTTTTTTAAAATCTTTTTTATAAAATATTATAAATTATATAAAAAAATATTCTATAAATATTTTTAACCCTTTAATTTTGAATTTTTTTTTACAATTTATAAAATTAGGAGGATTAACCCTTAATTATGCTAATTTTAATTTATAAAATATTTTTTTAAAGGCCTAGAATTGTATATTGTTAATCATGTTTTTTTACAATAACATTTTATATAAAAAAAAGTTCAAAATTAGGAGTTTAAAAATATTTATAAATTTTTTTACATATAATTTATAAAATGTTTGTAATATTTTATAAGAAAAAAGTTCAAGATTATAGGAATTAAAAATATATTTAAAAAACCATGATTAACAACGAAATGTTAAAACGATATCATTTTGACATTCAAAGTAATGGTCAACCCATATGACCATTACATATAACGAAATTGGACAATTTAAATTACAATTATCTAATTTTTAATATTTTGGGTTTTAAATTACGTAATTTGTTATTATGAGTTCGAAATTATTAAATCGCACTAGAACATGAGTCAAATTTACTATTAAGCCCTTGAATGTGTGAAATAGAGTTTTTTTTAAAAGAAAATTGATGGTTAATTTGAGTTTTATTATGATAATAGAGATGATGAAAAAATAGTCGGAGAGTGGATAAACGTGAGGAAAAAAAAAACAATATGTGAACTAAAAATATTACATCAAAGACAAATCATCATCGCTCTAATGAAAAACAGATTAAAGGATTAGGTTATTGATTAAATGATTAGTTTTTTAAACGAGAAAATTAATTCATTCAGTCTAATCTATAACTTACTCTATATTATCTACTGAAAAAAATAAAAGCCTGGCCTAGAAATCAGTGAATGTTGGCTCGAACAACTATCTCACTCTACCTCCGCGGGGCAAAAAAAAATTGAAGTAGCCTCCGATTAGCGCAGTCTCTGTCTGCCTTTCGCAATCTGGTAAGGTCCAGTTCTCCTTCGAACCCTCTCCATTTAGTGTTTCTTAGTTTCAATGATACCGTGCTTTCCATTTTTTTGGATTTTTTGCAGCATTACACTTTATCGACACTTCTAGTGATGAACCTGTGATCCCTAGTAGCAATTAATATTACCTGATTACCTTATCTTTCAGGCATTTATTTAATTATTTGTTATTGTGCACAATATATCATTTTGATTGCTTAAGAAATCAACTGTTTTTTTTTCTTATTAATATTTCTACAGCCATATTATTATAAACTTTGCATGATCTAGCTGCTAATACCACGTAATAGTTGCCTTCGCTGGTTACAATGCAAATGTTTTTCAATACTAAATTGACGGATTGATAATGATGATTTTGCAAATATGATTGTCATAGAGAAGTTCTCTCCCCGGCTTTTTTTTTTTTTGGAAAGAATTAAATGGGTTTGGGGCAGTTTCTTGATCATCTTGATATTTGCAATTTGAGTTTAGTGGAGGAACAATGCACGCAACTTCTCGTTTTATTTTACTCTTCTATGTGAGAAATATTGAACTTTTTTAACACCCAATGGCAATGGGAGATTATTAACATATTTTTGATACCCTGGGAGCCAAATTTATCGATGCTGGAGAAATCTGGTAAATGCATAGATCTGTTTCAGATTTAGCATCTTTCACAACAAAGCACTTTCTTTATGATAAATGAAAGGAGCTTGGCCATTTAAGAGCTTTGGAACTGTACATAGGGATGTAAAAATGGAGTGGGGGCAAGTTGGTTTGGATTTGCGCATATTTTGATAATTTGAGATTCTTTGTCACATCAAGAAGATTACCATACCTCAACAAACATCAGGAGGATGGGACCTCCAAATTTCTTATCCAATTAGTTATGACTCTGGAGCATCTTGATTCATATGAACAATGGAGCTTGAAGAGCATCCACCCAAGAATTGCTCTTGGTTTTCTTCACGAATTTGCTTTTGTATTATTTTCCGTCTTGTTTTAGATGTTGAGCAACATTTAACATGGATAATCTAAATATAAAATCAAGAAAAAACTTCAATTTTCAATTTTTTATTGTCTGCAACAAATACACTGAATACTATAACTTATGTCGGAAAATGATTGGTTGTGCTTCCTGCACTATATATGTTGGTAACCTGCCCGTTGGATGGCAAAGAATGGGAAATTGAAGACCTTTTCTACAAGGTTTGAGCCAGTTTCTCACAGCTTGTTTTTTTATAACTTTGCAGAACTTATTGCAGTGTAGTAGAGGTGTTACGTACCTTTCTGGATTTTCTTTTCATAGTGGCTTTATTGGTCACATAATGCTTTGAAGATTCTAAAATCTTATTAGTGATCCTCCGTTAAAAAACAAAGAGAAGATGTTAAATGAAATGAAGTTTTTCAGGTAGGAGCTCGGTTCCTTTGCTGCAAACTAGTTTAAATTACTTTCTAGCTTTACAAGAACTACCCTGGTATATGGTGCTCACAGCTCACTGTTGGGAACTGTTCTTTTGTGGTTTGTATTTTCCCTTATCCTTTAAAGAATCATATTGCTGAGAAGAACAGATTATCTTCTTGATAATCTAGATGTTAATTTGGTCCAGAACCCAAGCTTATTCATCATAAAGATACTACTCTATGTCAGAGTTAAAGGTTCACTTCTAATTTATGGTGAAACCTCATTCTAAAAATATGTCCTTTTCTGGTGTAAAATCTGTGATCTCCATATAGTTTCATAATTGGTCAATCTTGCTGTGTTTTCCTTGAAGATTTTGCTTCTATTTGTTAAAATACGTGTTGTGAAGCACTTGGTATGGAGAGATACAGATGTGTTCAATGAAAGTTCAAAGCTCCTTTTTTAAATTATTTATTATTATGAAGTACATGCACATTGAATTTTTGTCAATCTCCATGTTTCCTTGGAGAATACATCGATTTGTGCTCCTGTGAAGCACTGATATGTTTATCTTCTCATATAAGTAACATGGAATGACTAACACGAAATCACGAATATCTCGGACGTCCTTGTGTACATGATCGCTTTTAGTGTTTTTCTTTTCTTATGACAAAGACTGTTACATTTACAAAGTGATCTAATTATTTGTTGGCCTGCAGTATGGTTGAATTGAACCTTCCACATTGATCTCCTGGTTATTGTTTTGTGGAGGTATGTATATTATGTTTGCACACACTGAGCAGGTATGCACTGAACAGTTGGTCACACTGAGCAGGTACATGCACTGAACAGTTGGTTTATCTTGCACTGTTACCTTGCTTTATATTGCTCTTGTAATTTGTAGTTTGAAGATGTCTGGGGAGCTGAAGATGCAATCACAGCTCAAGATGGCTATAACTTTGATGTCTGTCATATAAGAGTAATTAGCCTTCAACTGCTTCATCATTCGAGCACTGTGCTTCATAGTTTCTTGTGTTTCTGTTAACGTAGGTTGAGCTTGTTGTGAAGGGTGATCTTGTTCATATGATCAGTGTAGTTATGCTAGTGGAGGTGGAGGAAGATATGGTGTTTCAAATCGTCCTGATTTCCGAGGTGCACCTTGTTTTTGTCTGTTCTGTCTTCCAACTTTCATGCTATCTATTCCGTCTTCATCATATTTGTTTTAAAGTGTTAACATTTTTATCCTTTTATGTATGCAGTTCTTGTTTGAGGGCTTTCTCCTTCAGCTTCCTGGCAAGACTTGAAGGTGGGAGGATTTCCAACTTCATCATATATGCATATCCCTGACTCTAAGATATAAATTCTTATCACTAATGACTCCTTACAGAATCACATGCTCAAAGCAAGAGATGATTATTTTGCAGAAGGTTTTCATGATGGTGATGGTATGAACCAATTGGTCAATAAATGTTTGGTGGAATTATTCTGCATAAATTGCTCTTATTTTTATATGTGCACCCTTGGAAGGCAGCATCGATCGTGTATTTTAATGTGTTAACCCATGGGAGGTCAAAGTTGAAGCATTTAGTGAAACAGAATGTAATATGGCCTGCAGAAAACTCTACCATACTGTCAGGACTAGAGATTGCATTTTCTTTTAGCGCAACAGGGACTTATATCATTGGATAACTCAACTTTTCACATTGCTTAAAAATTATTTCCCCAGAGAATAATATTGTCTGTGGCTTCATTATAACTTGGTTGCAATGCTGTTGCTTCATATAATAATGGAAATAATGAATGGGAGACTGATGGTAGCGGCAAAAACTTTATGACCTGCTTTTGTATTCTGTTCAGCACAGTTATTTTTCTCTTGGTTCTCATGATGTGCATCATTCCAGTTATCTACAGTATTTACCCATAACCTGTTAGCTCTCGTCTTATCTGGAATTTTTCTAGAAACTTTATAGAATCAACTGGTCAGCTTATCAAAATGCTCCTCTATTTAGTCTGTTGATTTTTATTTCATAAAGTGCATGTTGCCGTTGTATTAATTTCTCCTCTTGATAAATGAGTCTTTCCATTACTGCTTGTTTTCTCTGTTCCATCAAGTTCTTTAAGTTTGCTGCCTCACCACCCATGTACAAGTTAATCAAATGCTAATTTATTTTCAGGAGCAACTAGTGTTGTTGACGACACTAATGATGAGGACATGAAAAATGATGTAAGGTCATAAGAATCACTCTTCCTAGTTTGATACATTTGTGCTTGTCCTTCTTTATTAATCGATCCACTTGACTCCTGATGGGTTTGGCATCACAGATTCGACAACTCGATGATACTGAATTTCGGAATCCTTTTACAAGGTCTTATATTCGGGTAACCTTTACCTACCTGTTTTTTTTTCTGATGCTGGAGAGGATTTGAGACTTATCTAAATTGACAGATGATTTTTTGGTGATATTCCAGCTGGTTTAGATGATAGTATATATTATCTACTCTTCTGGCATGATTAATTGGTTATCATTCGGAACAAAGAGTTAGTGAAATATGTGGACAATCCATCATTTGCCTCTTTCTTATTATCATTTTGTTTCTTGGCAGAGGAAGAGTTATGAGGGCAGTCCTTGTGGGGGTCAGAGCTAGAGTAGAAGTCGCAGCAGAAGTAGGGGCTTGAGATGGGAGCGTATTCAAATGTCTCTTGATCCTTCTTGTTCTTATTTTTGCATCTTATGCTCCAAAGTTCTCAAATGCAGTTACCTTTATGCAGCAAGTCTCTACCAAAATCTGTGTACAAATCTAGATCTGCATCAAGATCTAGACCAGTATCTCCTGTTTGCTTATCCAGGTACGTGGTGCTGAGTTTTGAAATAATACTCTTGGTTTACTATGCATCTTTGACTTTAAAATGAATGTGCATGTATCTATATCTGTATTTGTATTAGTGGATATATGGGTAAGGCTGAGTGCATGCGAGGATGAATATGTGCAGCACTACTTTGTGTGACATAAATTTCCATGAGGAAGGGTCAATTTTCAGTGCAGTTATAGAAGTCTTGGACTGGCAACCAAGAAGTTACAGGTTCAAGGCCTAAGAGCGGTTCTCTTTCAAGGACTGCATTTTGGTGAGATATTATCTGGTAAAGGCTATCTGCCACACAGACAGTACACATGGTTAATAATTCATGCATGTTACAGACGGAAATAGCTTGTAGAGCAGGCGAATTGAGTATATGTACAACTTTAGGATTTGGTTGTTTTGCTTTCTTTGTTCCAAGTAATTTACTATCGCATTATTCAGTAAGGTCAGATTTTTGCTCATCCTCTCTTACATGTAGGTGGAATCCATGAATAGTTTTCATAGCAGATCCTAAGTTTATGTTAGAGGGAGGAGTACAATTCCCAGTGTATCTAATAATTGCTCCACTATGTCATTGGCTCTTGGTTTCACAGTGTGTTCATTTGGGTGTGGTTGGTTCCTTATGTGTATAAGAGGAATTGGTTTTAGCTTGTTCTGGATCCATCAGTGAACCTGTAATATATATAATCTTGAGTTTTTTTCTCACTCGCAACCCCTTAGTTGCCATATTGGAGGAGGGAACCAAACCAATCTAATGGAGGCTCAAATAGGAACGGCAATGGTTGGTAACCTGCAATGCCTACCCATCTTGCTCCACATGAGTGCATGAATGGGTCGATTGTTTGAAGTATCAAATTTGTGAGTCTGAAGGACCAAGCCTGGGTTAGGTTCAGGCTGGCAGATTTTGGGATCCCTGCCCTGCACTTAGATAGGGAAATAATATTTTAAAGCACATGGGTTTATAATATTATATTTGTAGCATGTTCTTAAAAAAATGATAGATGCCCGAATGGGAGAGACAGTGTCTTACATTCTGATACTGATAATGGGGCTCTATTCGCCACATTACTTTTGACTCCATAAGTTATTATTGGAAGAAGAAATAAATAAAACAATCATAATAAGTAATAATGATGGACCATACCTTTTATACCTTTTATTGGGATCAGTTGAACTATTGGCAGTAGGTATGGTACCAGAATGATAGTTTGTGTCATCTGTTGCACGATTTGGGAATCAAGGCAGCCGGTTTCTCTGGGTCTCATTCTGCACAAAAGTGCCCTCTCTCTGCAGTTTCTGCTGGATTGTATTAGTTTGTGTATGCTGTAGGTACAAGGATACAGATTGGATATCCATAGAATGCCTGTTGTATTCAGTTGCTAGTAAGTGGAAGTTCAATTGATTTTACAAGTTGTGCCTCGGAAAATTGGAATGTATACTTTATCGTCATAAACTTGGGGTATCATCCTCCATTAAATCCAACGGTTTATCATAAATCAAGATCTCCATCCTTAACGAGATCCTCATATGTACTTTCAATAATTTCAGCATATTATGTGTAGCTTGTGCAATGTGAAACCTGATGCGAATTCAACTCAGCCGGACCTCAAGTCCTGTTATTCTTGGGTCTATTGTATGCTCTAGATGCATAACTATGAAGTAACATGATTTGGAACTTAAGCCGAACTTTTATTTACGCATTACTGGATTCAATTCGAGCATTCAGATGAGATAAATGTGTACCTAGAAAGACATATGGACCTCGATAGTGACCCTGTTCTCTTGTGATCGTAACTCATCATAGTAACAAATTGCAAGTAGGTCTTTGCACGTATACTTTTAATGCTCTAATAAAGCGTTATCTAATTTCTAAAGCGTCTATTTAATCATTTGCACTTTACAATGTGTGCTTTTGTTTTATGTTGTCTAATTATCTTTTATTTTAGAAACATAACATTTCCATCTCTCTATCTAGCATGAATATAGTTTTACATAATAGTCGTGGTTAAAAAACTGTTCGGAATTGCGATTGTGACAATAAAATAGCGATATAAATTTATTTTAATTCATATATTTTTAAAAAATTTTAATAATTAAGCATACTAATAAGTAATAACATATTCTAATTCATATAAATTTATTCAATGGTCACTATGTTTAATATAATATATTTTATTTCACAAAATATTTTATTTATCAATCATTTCATGATGTAAATTTATTTTTTTATTTTTTAAAACAAATAAGAAAATAACATAAAATTAAAAAGTATGACTACATAATTGGTTTTTGAAACAGAAAGTATAACTATTTAATTTTTTCAAACTAAAAGGATTAATTTATAATTTACTCGATTAAAGGCCTGCACATGCACACAGGAGAGAGAACATAAAAGAGAAATAATTTATTAATTATTTGATTTTTTTATCATGTTTAATGTAATATATTTTATTCTACAAAATGTTTTTTTTTATCAATTTTTTTTTATTTTTTTTGTTTTTTCTAACAAAAAGAAAAACAAATTACTCTTTGTTTCAAATAGATTTTCCTTCTTTCTATTTATATCGGTTTAAAATGTCCGTCTAGTCAAAATTTTAAATATTATATTTTTCTTAAATATCCTTAACCAATTTTTTTTCTAACTAAAAAGTCAATAGTTGTTTAGAAGGATATTTTTGTAAAATAAGGATAAAAAAAAGGTATAATTAATGTCTCTCTTAAATAGTACGAAAAAGTGAAAAAGGATTGACGTTTTGGCACAGAGAGGGTAGAAAATAGCCTAAAATGAATAAAAAATTTTCAAATAATTTGTTGTTGAAATAAAAAAAGGCTAACTAATTTATTTTGTCAAAATAAAAATGTTAATTTGATATTTATTCAATTAAATCTGCAACTCTAGTATTTGATTCTTGAATAAAATCTGAAACTTTGAATCTCTCACGAGGTCTCTGCCTCTTTGCTTATGTGGTTGAATTTCAGCTGTTGAAATGACTGATTTCAGAGTTTTTTTTAAAAAAAAAATGTAAAACGCTGTTATATAGTTATTTGTCATTGTACTTATAAAATGACATAAGAGCACCGATGACATCGAATAATAATGATAAATAGAGTATGTAGGCTGTTTTTTAAAAGTGCGAGCAGGAATCTTTGAACGGTGATTGACATATGTTCGAGACATTTACTTGCATTTTAACAATGTAGAATTAGTGAACTTGACGTTTTCAGCTTGATTAGTAGAATTTTGTGGAAGTTCGGTCAAAGCTATTGTTTTGTTTTTCTTTGAACTGATAATTGCTATATAGTATTTGTATTTCTATTAGTTTAAGCATCAGGTAACGAAGATTGCCGGGTTGCTTGAACTTGTGGAAATTCCGCAGTTCAGTTTTGTGTTTGGGTGTTGCTTTTGAAATACTCAAATCTGATTGTACCAAATTTCTTTATGAGTGGAAAAGTAATAATGCCCGTATCGGACTTGCGCAATTGATCTCTTGACATCAGCACTTTCCGTGACTTTACTTCGCTGCATCACAGCAGAATAAAAAAATAAAAAAAAACTTGTCTCAAGGCTAAAGCAATTAATACATCCTCGCAGTAGAGCTAGAGCTTTAAAGGTGTAAATTTATTTTAATTCATATATTTTTAATAATAAAAAAAGTTAATAAGTAATAACATATTCTGAAGCAATTAATACATCCTCGCAGTTGAGCTTTAAAAGTAAAAGAAAGTAGCAGATATCCAGAATAGGCGTAATGCTGGTAAAGTGAATATTTGCGATGTGAAGGAAAATAGCACCTTCACGACTTAAAACAGTTTATAAGAACCTGAAAAACTAGACGACGACGTCAAACAGGTAAGACCTCAACGCAGTGCTCCACTTGTTTTTCGGGGATGAGCTGCTTAGTGGCTAAACCTTAGGAAGACCCTTTGAACTTACAGGCTTTTTATTATTATTATTATTATTATTGACATCTTCATGAACCCCAAAAACGATTGCACAATGTCTTATCTACAAATCCTAAAATCACCTAGACCCTGTTGGTCTTTGAACCGACACTCCAATACCAAAAAGCCGGAGCCTGTGTAGAATAAATTAGTTTGCTGTTCTGTCTTACTCTGCGGATTGAATAGAATAAAATCCTTCGAGTTTGATAGCTCATGTTATGTATCAGTTGTATTAAAATATATAAATAAAAAATAAAAAATTCACTAATTTATAATTTTTTAATCAAAATCTTGTGTATTAATTAATTCATTCTTATATTTTTCATAAATTTTCTACTTAAAAAATAATTTAACCAAAATTTGTGTATTAATTAATTCTTTTTTATGTTCTTCATAAATTTTCTACTCAAAAAAATAATTTATCTTGTTTATGCATTGATTCTTAAATAAAACCTAAAATAATCTAACTAGAAAATTTAATCTATTTTTTTTTCAAAAAAAAAAAACTTTATTCTTTAATAAGATTGTATAAAAAAAGCTACAATTAATGTAAAAGTTGGTATAAAAATACTTTATTCTTTTATAAGATTGTATAAAAAAAATTACAAATTAATGTAAAATTTTGATAAAAATTAACAAATAAATAATTAGATTTTTATTCTTATATAATGCTTTCGAGAACATTATTTTTTTAAATTATATATATTTAATTTATACATGTTTATTTACGAAACAATTAGTAATATTAATATAAAAAAAATTATATTTGAATCATTGAGTGTTTCTTTAAAAAAAAACATTTCAATTATTTTATTTGAAATAAATTGATTTTAAAATATTTAAAAAAATAATAGCAAATAATTGGTGTTATATGTATAGATATATAATTATTTTCTAATAAAACTACTAGTTTATTTTTTTATATGCATCATAACTATACTTAATAGGTCGAGAGGGCGCATCACAAAGAGAAAAAATAAAAAAAATAATAATAATAATAACTTACAAGAAATATATTGAATAAATTTGAAGTTAATAAACTGAAATAAAACTATTACAAAATTAATTTTGATAAATTTTAATTACATAAAAAAGAAATAAATAACACACATGAATTTTACTTTTTAATTGATTGTATTAAATTTTATCTTTTTTTTCCTAAAAATCTGAGGCAAAATTT